AGCGGGGGAAGGATGGGCTTTCCGGTGAAGGGTGCTGAGCCCGCCTGCGCAGCCCGGTGGGGGAGAATGCACCTTGACCTCGGCCTCACATTGGACGCAGAAATGGATTCCAGATGCCCTGCAGATCGACACGGGGAAGGTGAGCTAATAAAGCTTCAGAAAAAACCAGAGTATCTTTATGACCTTGGAGCAGTCAACGTGTCCCTAATAGGACACAAACGGCACTATCCGGAGAGGAAATGTTTGATTAACTGAATCACATTAGGAGTTCACTTAAAGTTCTGTTTGTCAAAAGACACCCTCAGGAGAAGGGAAAGACGACGGAAGAGGGGGAGGCGGCCCTTACGTGCCGTGTACGTACGTGGGCGTGGGCACGCGCGTTTCTGACGCCCGTCCTAGCCAGGCGACGGTAAAGGCAGAAAGAACGAAGTGCTGTAAATGGATGAGAAAAGGCCACCCGAAACGAAGCGGGCCGGAGACACGAGCACGTTCCTGGAGGACAGTACGCGCGGAATAAAAGACGACAGAACAGGCTCGCCTGCACCAGATCCCAGAGCGCTGCTGCGAGCCGTGCCCCCTGCCCCCGCTTCCCCAGCGTGGCGGAAAGCGGCCGTGAAAAAGGCCCGGTGCTGGTGACGCTGCGGAACCGGCCCGCCGCCCCGCCGCCGCGGTGGGGGGCAGCAGCTAGGCGGTGTTGTTGAACCCGAGCCTAGCAGCCCCACGCCTGGGCGTATTCTCACCAGACGTGCAGCCTGCTCTCGCCCCAGGAAGCCCGTGCGGGACGCTCTTAGCACCGACGGTAACAGCCCGGCGCTGGAAACCGTCCACGTGGCCGCCGGCAACGGGATGGATGAATCCCGCGGAGGGCCGGCCGGCAGGCGCCGCTCTCTGCGGCCGCGCGGCCCGGCTCCGGGAAGGCAGACGTGCCGGTGGGTGTGCGCACTGTGCGAGTCTGTCTGCGGAAGGTTCGGGAACGGGCGCGGCTGAGCGGTGCCGCCGGCAGCCGGGACGGTGGTTACCCTCCGAAGGCATGGCGGGGACTGGGGACACGGGGGCTTCCTGGGAACCTGCCTGCTAGTCACATGGGGCCCGGGGTGAACGGAGCCGAGTCCCGTGGAGACCTGCGTGCTCGTCTCCTTTCACTACAAAGTGGGAAACACTCTCTATGCAAGGACTGTCCTTTCTGAGCCGGCCCGGCCCCCAACCCCTTCCGCCCCCCACGCAGGCCTCCCGGCCGGGCTGCCTTAGGGCTCAGTCTCCCCTCGCAGGTTTAGGCAGAGCACATAGAGGAGGTACCCGCGGCCACCGCAGATGTCTCCATAGCAACACCGGCGCGACCTCTGGAGTCACTGCAGTCCTCCAGCCGCCTCTAGCAAGTGGATGCCCTCCTGTCCCTGACCTCCTCCAGCACTGCCTGCCTGGCCGGGGCCGGCCTCACCAAAGCCCTGCCCTTGGAGAGCGCGGAGCCCCGCCATGGGAGTGGCCCGGGGCCGGGAGTTCACTGTCACGGTCCCCAAAGGACGTAAGAAGCCTTCCGCTTTCCTCTGGGCCTTCCACCTAGAAGAGGGCCCACTCCCCGGAGCAGGGGCCTCAGGGGCCGGCCTGCAGCTGGGCCGGTGCAGGCTGGGAGCCAGATCGAGGGCATCTGATTCCTAGTCCCGTCCCTTTCCCACTGAGCCACTCCGCCTCGCTTCTAATTTAATTAGGAGAACATTTAATCCCCCCGTGCATTTCAGAGACGGGTCTGAGCTGGCCGGGGCTGGGAGGCTCTGACTCAGGCAGCTCCACACGGCACTCCCGGGCGGGCTCCCACGGGGTTTCCTTGGCACCTCGTGCGGACGGAGGTGGTCCGGAGCTCCGAGAAGACAGGACACCGGTCCGGAAAGAGACCGGTCTCTGATGTGCCTGGAAGGCCCCCTCCCTCTTCCCCCTGTTCTCTGGCCCCGAAGCAGCCTCGTCGTCCTTCCCCACCAAGGTTTGCAGAACAAGGAGGTGGCCACTCACACAGTGCCTGGGCCTCCACCAGGGTCCGCGGGAGCGAGCCGCAGCTGGCCCTGGGGTCCCTGAAATGCCCCTGGCAACCCTGGTCCCATCCAGAGAGCTAGCCCCGCCGTCCCTGGAGCTGAGTACAGGGCCGAGCCTTGTGACACTTGCCCCGCTTCCAGAAGGCGTGGGGCTGGCCCTGGCCTCCCTGGCAAACGCAGAACTCAGGTGACCTTAGTAGTGACGTGGGTGAAAGCTGGGCCGCGGGGGCCTTGCTGGAAAAGAGAGATCGAGCGTCTCGGCATGAGACCGCAGGGCCCAGGAGAAAGCCGGAGACACGGAAATTCTAATGGAAGCACACGGGGCTGGTTTTGCTCAAGGACCTACAGGCTGTCTTGTCACAGGACGGCCCACAAGCACACAGTTGCTCGTGGCCACCTGGTAGGGGCCCCGCAGTGCCCCAGCCTCAGCTCTGCCTTCCCTGGAAGGCCCTCCCCGTGCCCATCTGTGCCCAGGGTGTCCCGCTATACTGTCCCCGGCGGAGCAGGACGGGCTGGGGGCGACTGGTAGACAGGAGCTGAGCCTCGCCTGTCCAGGATGCTGTGACAGAAGACATGGAGGGGGCCGGGGGTCACCACTTCCGGAGGAACCCGTCGGGGGTGGGGGGGGCCTCTCACACAGCCTGCCTTGGGTGTCCGCGTGCAGCCAGTGGGACAGACGTGGACTCCTGGCCATGCTTGGCTGGCTTGGCCGCAGGGGTGGAGGGGGCTTCGTGGAAATGGCTGCCGTGTCCCAAGGCCCCTGGGCGAGGGGCACCCAGGCCACACCCGTACGCGGTCCCAGTCGGGGCCTCATGCTGTGGCCAGTTCGGGCCTAGCTGCCCACTTCCAGGTGTGCTAACAGGCATGCCGAGGCACCCACACCCCTCACCACCTCATCTCAGGTGAGGCCGGCCTGGCCCCGGTGCGGGTCCCGCCTGCCGGGGGGTGGGAGCCACGTCTTGGAGCCCCTCCCAGCCTGGGGCTTCAGGACTCCCAGGGAGAGAGAGCCTGAGAGGAGACGGAGCCCCGGAAGGGTCCCAGGCCCCGTACTCGGGGCTCAGGGAGCTGGTGTGGAGGCCTCGACAGCCAGAGGGCTTGGCTGCCTGGGCCTCCCCGGGGTGAGGTTGGCCGAGCAGATGTTGGGAAGACGGGTGGGAATCTGATGGCTGCAGATGGGGAGGCACAAGGATGCACACAGAGGTGCCCTCCCCCCCCCCCCCCCCCCCCCCCCCCCGCCACTGTCCTGTCAGTGGCCGTCAGTGGCCACAAGGCAGTAGATGGGGCAGGAGCCCAGGAACTCCTCCCGGCTCCTATTGGGGGCAGGGCTCCTCTCCTCTCTCAGAGTTGGGGAGAGGGCTTTCCCGCCCCCCCCCATTGTCCTAGATGCCCCATCTCCACCTTACGCCGGCCCCTCGGAAACCTGGTGGCAAGGCTCTGGGTGGGGGACGCAGGTGTGCACGGGGCTCCCCTCCGCTGGCCCTGGAAGGCGGTCGGCCTGGAAGGGGTGCATCAGGCTGCGGCCTGGCTCCCTAGAGCTGGGGGCGGGGCAGGGCTGCATGGGGTCTCCGGGGCTCGCGTGGGGGGCTGGGGTGGCCGAGAGCACTCTGTCTCCCTAACACGGTACGCCCCGGCGACTCCCTAGATCGCACCAGGGCTGCTCAGGGCCCCCGGCTCCCCGCCCCTCATCCCGGCCAGAGGCCCCGGAAAGAGGAGCTTCGCCCAGCCCCAGGGACCTTCCCGTAATCAAGGCTGCAGTGACCTCACCTCCCTGGGGCCCAACGGGTGGGGAGAGCTTGAGATGGAAACAAAATGTGTCTTTATTTATGCTTTTAATTTGAATCCTGGATCCGACCCAACGTGGTAATACATTGAACATCAGTAAAACGCTGGAGAAGGACGAATCTGTTTGTCAGCAACTGCTTCCCACCCTCTCTGCCCCCCTGCGAGACCCCCGTGCACACCCCTGCCCCTCTCACACACACCAAGGCAGGTGCCCGCGGGGCCGGGCTGCCTGCAGCAGCCTTGACGTGTCCCCAAGCAGCCGGAGCTGTTCAGTTGGGGGCATCCGTCAGGAGGAGTGCCGGGCAGGAGGTGAAGGCACGGAGGGCAGTCGTGGCGCCCCCAGAGCCACCTCTGCCAGCCGTGGGGCGGGGGGTGGGGGGGCCTCTGCCCTGCCTGCAGCCTCGGGGGCGTCTGGGTTCTGAGGCCCCCCCACCTCTCCCTGGGCCCGCATCACACGCCTTTCACCAGGGCTCCCCAGGGCACAGCACCCTGTACTAAGGACACGTTCACGCAGATGCCCTGCGGTCTCCACCTTGACCCTGACCTGATGGGACAGCGATGCCTTGAGGTGGCCCCTCTACTGACACCTCGGCTCCCTGCTCCCAGCACCCACCACTGACCAAGTGCGGTGGACAGATCTGCTGGGAGAAGCCCTTGTAGGTTCTAGCATGGGGACCCAGCTGGGCAAGGACTGGGGTGTAGGCCCGGACAGCACCGGGGGTGACAGGAGACACCCCCCCCCCCCCCCCCCCCCCCC